CCAGCTGAAAATCATTAGATCGAAGAAGAAGAAGAAAGAAAGATCAAGTGCCCCTCTTTCTTCTTCGATCTTCTTATACTTATAACATACGTACAACATATGCATATGGATTAAGTAATTGAAGGGTTAAGTACGTACATACTCAATTCAATTGAAATCGCTACCTCAAGAAGTCATACCATTAAATATTATCATATACTATGCACTCTGGCCCTAATCACCCTCCACCGCCCCCATACGTGATGCTTCAAGATCAGGGTGCCCCCGGCCACTATCCAGGACCCCATGGTCGCAATCCTCCCCGGTTCAATGGCCAATACCGCCCCAACGGGCGCCGCAAAAATACTTGCTTGAGGTGCTATTGTTGTTTCTATTGTTGCTTTTTCATAACTTTAGTGGTGATTATCGCAGCCTTGGTCATCAGCTTCATCATAATTAACCCGCACGTGCCCGAGTACAAAATTAATGACTTCTCCGTCAAGGCATTCAATCTCACCCCTGATCTCAACCTCCACGCGCATTTCGTGATCACGGTAAAGGCTGAGAACCCTAACAAGCAAATCTCCATCATATATGGCAAGGGCAGCAGTGTAACCCTCTTGTACTCGGGGATGAAGCTTTGCTCTGGGAAGGTACCAGATTTTACTCAACCCACAAAGAACACGACCATGATGAATGTAGACCTCAAAGGAGACTTGAAAGGGAGTGACTTTGGAGGCTCCTTGGGAGAGTCACTCATGGAGAAAATGAAGAGTGATAGGATCCCTTTGACTGTTGCGGTTAGGGTACCTGTAAATGTAGCGATGGGAAAAATGCATGTGTTGAAAGATCCAATGGGGATTTATGTCAACTGCTCCATGGTCGTCAATAATTTGTCCCAACCAGATAAGAAAGTAGGGATTTCAGACAAAAAATATGACATTGATTTTTCATATAAGTTCAAACATTGATGAAAACCCCATGTTATATACGAGGTAGGAAGTTGAGCATTATGTTAGCTATATTCTAGCTAGCTAGCTGCTTAATTTCTGCAGAGGGAAGTTCAATTGCAGGGTTAATTAATGTGTTGTTCTTACACAAACAAATTTCTTCATTTTTTTCCTTCCAAATGTAATGCACAAAATTATTGCGTCTGTTACTTTAGCAATTTTTTTTTCAAGCGCGGAATTATAAATGGTACAGTACAGATGTGACTTTGTTTGCACATTATTTGGTGTATTTACTTTTGTACAATAACCGTTATTCGATCGATAGTTGCATCCCAACTACGGAAATTTTATGTTCTTCGATTCTCAGTTTAAGATGTTGTTGAGAAACATTCAACCCCATCATATGGAGGTTAAAGCTGCCATCAATTACTTCCAAAGGAAGGACATGGATGAGCTCGTCAAGTTCCATTAATACGTCGAACAGAATTTGACATTCTTCTTCAGTTTTAAGATAAGAACATGTTAATTGTTCCTTGGTTCTCTCTACTTGTGATACAAAATTCTCTCAAAATATCTTGTAGATTTGTAATCCAGGTACGAAGAAGCCTGAATCATTAGGGATAGGGAAGTAGAACTTCCTTTAGGGCCAGGTCCTTGACAGGACTACTTCTACAAGGTAACAACTCTAAAGTTGGAAGTTGGGCTTTCAAAAATCAACCCAATAACATTTTTACAAACTGATCAAAGAGGAAGTGGGTGTGCCACTTCTTCTTTTTTTCTTTTTTTTCTTTTCCAATTTTAATTTTATAATACATATGCTTTCTTTTTTTTT